TGATTCTTACAATGCGTTCAGGGGCTTCCCCGGGGGTCCGGTGTTTAAGAATCCACATTCCAGCGCAAGGGACACAGGTTCAATCCCTGGTCAGGGAACCGAGATCCCACACACCTCACGGGGAAACTAAGCCTGCAGGCCACAACTAGAGAAGCCAGAACATCACAACCAGAGAGACGCTTCAGTGCCGCAGCGGCCAAGAAAAACCGCGTTCACGTGTTGGCAGGTTACTAAATACAGATACTTGGGACATTCACCAAACGGGTGGACGCTCCTCCTTCCTCTAAACACCTTTCCAGAAGGGAAGGCTGCCATGCCTTGACACCTACTGTGTCTCAAGGTGTAAGGGGACGAAGGGGCCTCATCTCCAGCCTCCCAGTTCACAGAAAACGCAGGGCAGGAGGACTGCGGAATTTGGAGTGATTCTCAGAGGGGATGCTTGCTTTGCTTCTCTGCTTCTATCAGACTTTCTACTAATTACCAGCGAAAGTTGTTTTTATCAGGGAAAAACAATATTTTACCTCAGAATCCAGATCTTAACACCATCCGTTGTTCCAATGTGGAACACTTCCATTGAAATCTTCCACTGATATTTTCTCCAAAGAGTAATGTTTAATGAAAACAAAGGAGGTGGTCCAGTGGTTAAGAATTCGCCTTACAATGCAGAGGATGTGAGTTCGATCCCTGGTCAGGGAACTAAGATTCCACACCTAGCCTGAGAGCCACAGCTAGAGAGAAGCTTGTGTGCCACAAACAAGACCAGACACAGCCAAATAAATAAATTAAAAAAAATTTTTTTAAACAAACAAAGGAAAGAAAACTTACAAAACTACATGTTCTCTAAAAAAACCCATGTTGACTCTCAGGTTCCTGAACCAAGATGGGTGTGAGCAGCCTGTCACCAAGGGAATATAGTCTTTACAGCACAGAACTGTGGGTGTTTTCTGAGTAGTAACGCTGTAGATAGCACACGCAATGGCTGACAAAACGCATTTTAAATATTTCCTAATGATAACCCCTAATACACTGACATTCATATTGGTCACATTCACCCTTCAGAAATCGTACCGAATTATCATTTAAACTGAGAAGCCACCAAAAGCCCAGCGAAGCTGTCAAAGATCTGGTACTCATCACCCGTAAGGACAAGTGTGGTTTGAGAGGCTTGATACAAGTGGGTCTTCAGGCTGTGGGCGGGTCATTCACTCAGCATTCACTGCAGTTTCAGAACATGCAATAATTGTTCCATGTTATTCCACCACACATCCTTAAAGTGATGTTAGGATTCCATTTGGTTTTACACAGTATCAGTAGGCTTATCTTTACAGATGATCAATATATGGCCATCTTATCAATCCAATTGTACAAATTCTTCTTTCTGTTCTCATAGCTGCCTGCAGAAGAGATCACACTGGGAGATCTTTATAAGACTAAAGGGATGACTCAGCCTTCAACTGGACACCCTGCCTGGGGCCACGGTCATAGTGAGTTGGGCCAGCCCAGGTCCTCAGGGCTCCATAACTGACTATCTGTGACCTTGAACAAACCATTTATGCTCCCTTGGACCCAGTTCCCTTATTTCTACAAGGGGAATGGTAATACCTACTTCAAAGCTGTTGGAACATGAAATGAGTACTAAACAGTACCTACCACATAGTAAAGAGAAAGCAGACAAAGCTGCAAGAATGTATAACCATAATTATAAGAAAAAGGGAATGGGCTGCAGATACATTGCAATAAGACTATTCGATCATGAAGTCCCCCTCATGTGATCAAATTGATCAGAATTACATTTTAAGGGAAAAAGTCATTTGTAATATAATGGGCACACTGTCATGTATTCAACCAGACAGAAATTAATGGGAAGAACAAGAAATTGGAAAAAAGAGAAAGAAAGAAATCACTAGTTGTATCATTTTGTCCGATAAAAAGAACAGTTCCGAGGGGCTTCCGTGGTGGCTCAGTGGTGCCTGCCAAGGTAGGAGACATGGGTTTGCTCCCTGCTCCGCGAAGATCCCACATGCTGCGGAGCAACCACACGTGTGCCCCGATGACTGAGCTTGTGCTCCGGAGCCCGGGAGCTGCAGCTACTGAGCCCATGGACAAGTACCGCAACCGCTCAAGTGCACACAGCCTACAGCCTGCGCCGCACAGTAAGACAGGCCACCACCGTGAGCAGCCCGCACACGCGCCTAGTGAGCACCCCACACTGCAGCAATCGGAGAAACGCCCACGCAGCGACAAAGACCCACCCAGCCAGAAGTTACTTAATTAAGTGACTGATTTTTTTTTTTTAAAGAAAAAGAATTCCTAGTACAAAGCAGGTTTGGTTTTGTATTTTAAATCTGATTACCATGAACCAGTCCATGAGAAACCAAGGTGCTAGACCTATTAAATTCAGGACCAAATCCTGTTCTATTCAAGTCATCACTTGGAAACAAGTGATGGGTTCAGGGAAAACAGAAAACTAATAAGCATTCTCCCAGGCTTGGAAAGAGGAGGCCAGGAACCAGCAGGACTGGTCTTGGGATACCAGGAGCAAGGCATCTTATGTGGGGGACTTTGACTTGCCTGCCCTAAGCCCTTGGAGACCTCAGCAAATTCTCATAATCTCTGGGTTGCATGAAATCTGTCAAATCCTCTCTTTCTGCATATCCTTTTTTTTTTTTTTTTTTGCTGTGAATAAAGTACACCAAAATGGACATGTCTAAATGCAATCATTTGTCCACTGAAATGTGCGTATTAAGTGCCCAGGACATGCCAGGAATCCTGGAGGGGTCGTCTCAGCTCACTAGCACTATCTCATTATCTGATGCCTACAGGATGTGAACCTTGTGTTAGAGCTACTTGTATATACTTTTTTCCTTCCTGTTAAGACTGTAAACTCTTGAAAGGGAAGGGCAGCATTTTAATCATCTTCTTCCCCTTGGCACCCACCAGAGGGTTCCACTTATAGAAATTATCCAATAAACAATTACTGAACCAAACACCCTCCAGGACACATGTAACCGGAGGATCCAGGGTTTCTCTCCCCTTAGGTCTTCAGATTTTAAGACTGTCTCCCTGAGGTGGGTGAGCCTTTCTAAATCTGGCTGCTAGTGGGATGTGAAATGAAATGTTTTTAAACATGATCTGGAAAATGTTAATGCCTCATTAACTTTCATGAATATAGGAGCAAAAAAGACAAACCTGAGGATGAGATTAGTCTTCCACATAAGCTAATGCACTTCCTGATGCCCAAGCATCACAGTTTCACCTCACTCTTGACATCTGGATCCTGACAACATATGGTATTGTTGCTGCCATCAGCAAGCAAATGATGGCGCCCCCCACCCCCTGCACCCACCAGTGCTGTTTCCTAACATCAAATTGAGAAACTAGGCTTTTGATTCAGAAACTTGGGCAAGATCATGAGGAACTTAACAGTCTGAGAATATTTTAAGTAAATGGAGACAAATGATGGTCCCTCTGGAGGTCCATGGAGTCCTAGAATTCTATTGACCTTAACAAAACTGGCCAAAAAGAAAAAAGGACAGGATCACAAAGAAGCCTAGCACCACCCTGACAATATTTATTTTCCTTCCAGAAAGGCAGGAGGTTGAATGTGAAGCTGAGAGCAGAGAAAGGAGGAACAAGATAACAGTCCAGGCATCAAAACAGCTGCTCTCTGATAAGAAGACGCCAAAGGAGTTAAAAAATTCTTACTAGAAATCTGAAGGACGAATGAAATGCACACCAATATCACACCATGGTACCGGCTATCTCGGAAAATTTTATTCATCTTCGTAAGAATAACAATTTGGAGCTCAGCCCAAATTTTTCTAAGTAATCCCTTAATGATCATAATTGACTTATCCCACAAAACAAGTCTTCTAATCCTCTGATAAACAGGCTTCTAAGCCTGGATGAGGGTTAAGTAAGTCCTAACTTCATCAGTGCGAAACGAGGACATGGAAGGATAAAATGATCTATACAGGATTATGCAACGCTTCCCTTGTGGCTCAGCAGTAAAGAGTCTGCCTGCAATGCAGGAGATGCAGGTTCTATTCCTGGGTCGGGAAGATCCCCTGGAGAAGGAAATTGCAACCCACTCTAGTATTCTTTCCCGGAAAATTCCACGGACAGAGGAGCTTGGCAGGCTACAGTATGCGGTTGCAAAAGAGTTAGACATGACTTAGCAACTAAACAACAACGAAGCAGCTCATCAATTACAATGTTCTCATTACATATAAATGTGTGAGAATAAAAGAGAAAATAAAAGTTCAAGAGAGAAAATGAACGAGTCAAAACAAATGAACTCCACTCATATTATTTTAAAACAGATTTGTTGATTAGATTTGCGATGTTGCCTTGAATTGGGTATAAAGATAAACCATGTTAAAACAACCCTATGAGGATTTCAAAACAGACTTTTCTAACTGCATCCACATGATAGCTGAATACTGAAAGAAAGGAAGAAAGAAAGAAAAGAAGGAAAGAAAGGACGGAAGGAAGAAGGAAGTAAAGAAGGAAGGAAGGAAAGAAAACTAATTGGAACTTGCAAGCGACTCCTCCTGAGGCCCCCAGTGTAGGCAACTCCAAATCAAAGAGGCTTCTCAGAGGAATGCTCACCCCTGTCTGCTGTACATGCCTGCTAAGTCCCTTCAGTCGTATCTGAGTCTTTGCAACCCCTTGCCTATAGCCGCCAGGCTCCTCTGTCCATGGAATTCTCCAGACAGGAATACTGGAGTGGGTTACCATGCCCTCCTCCGGGGGATCTTCCTGACCCAGGGAATGAACCCGAGTCTCATGTCTCCTAAGTCTCCTTCGTTGGCTGGCGGGTTCTTTACCACTGAGCCACCTCGGCAGTCCGGTCTGCTCTGGGGGAGGAACAGATCAGAACATTCAATCTGCAAGCCAAGGGGAACAGAAAGCATCTTTTTTGAAAAACACACTTTCAAACTGGAGGCAGCTGTGGAGGTAAGGAAGGCTTCGCAGGTCCGGCCTGCTGGCAGGCTTACCTGGCTGGGGGTGGTGGGCTCCTGCTCACACGGCCAAGAGCAAGATCCTGCAAAAGAAGAAAGAGACCCAGCTCAGACTCACAGATAAACTCCTGCTCTGAAGTTTTCAGAGTGTGATCTGAGGACCCTGGGCTTCCCAAGACCCTTCCAGAGGTTCGCAGGTCAAAGCCATTTTCAAATCCAAATCCAAAAGCCAAATTCAAAGCCAAATCCAAAACCAGGACATAAAATGTAGTACAGTCTCCTAGAGGCAGACACATTACAGTGTAAACAGAGGGGTGTCTAGCTTATTTTCTGATGCCAGATATGTAAGAGATTTGCAAAAAATCTAAAACAAGGTCATTCTGCTCACTGATGTCTTTTGTTTTGAAAAAGAGTGATTTTCATGAGACATTATTTATAATAAAATATACAGGGGTTACTGTAGTTTCAAATGAATTAAGAAATATTTTAAAATGTCTTGACTTTAGATACAATACTGTGAGTATCAGTAGAGATAAGCTACACAGTCAAAAGCTCCTTGGGATCCTGAGTCATTTTTAAGTGTCAAGGGGGCCTAGGACCAAAGTTTTGAGAACTGCTGCTCCAGGTAACTATTTTGCTGCAGACTTCTATTAAACAGCAGGATTCCCTAGCGGCTCATATGCCTGCAATGCAGGAGACCCCAGTTTGATCTCTGGGTCAGGAAGATCCGCCGAGGAAGGAGGTGGAAACTCACTCCAGTATTCTTGCCTGGAGAACTCCATGGACAGAGGAGACTGGCGGACTACAGTCCTTGGGATCACAGAGTCCGACACAACTGAGCAACTAACACTTTCACTTTTTTTCACTTTCTATTAAACAGCATCTGCTTTTAAGAACAGCAGTGGTCAGTACACAGCACTATATGCCAGGCGCCCTACTAAATATGTGTGTCACTTACACATTCACAATCATCTTAAAAAAAAAAAACTCAAGAGAACCATATTTAATATTCTGTGTTAAACCACAATGGAAAAGAATATAAAAAAGAATAAGTATACATGTATAGCTGAGCTATTTGGCTAAATAGCAGGAATTAACACAACATTGTAAATCAAATACACTTTAATTACAAAAGAAAAACAAAAATCCAGCCTTTCCACCTCACCCCTGGAGTGGAGACTGGTTCTCTAAAGACTGGTTACTTGCCCAAATCAAGTCAGCAAGTCACAGAGAACAAGTCAGCCTGGCTCCTAAGACCATGATCTCTTATTCTACATAATTTTTTATATAAAAAAAGAAAAGGAATCAAGAGAATCTCTGCAAACTAAATTGGGGCAAAGTGGCTGGGGCCTACTCTCCCACATGACACTGAACGGACTCCATATGCACCAGGTGAGCGCAGCCTGGATGAAACACTACTGACTGGGCTTCTCTGCTGCCTGCAAGACACCTGCTCCACACCAGGCTTACACCTGCTGTCCCCATACAGTATGAGTGGTGTCCCTAACACATTTTAGGGTCACCTATCAAGAAGGCTATAATAGGTCTTGGCTTCTAAAAGCCTCCTTTTCTAATCTGCGTCAATTTGCATGAAGAATTGAAACAGTGCGTGAAGAGGTACTATTACTTGTCCTTCAATTGCAGCTGAATTTAAGATTATGTGCAAGAGGAAGAGAGGAAAGAAATTCTCACTGATATAACTTATGCAACCAATATAGCCAATTCTGAGTTTATAAATCTAAAGCATGGTATGGCAAGTTTCTCCAAAAAAAAAAAAAAGAATTACCGTATGATCCAGCAATTCCACTTCTGGACATATATGGATATATACTCTAAAGAATTGAAAACAGAAGACTAAAACAGATATTTATACCCCCAGATTCATTGCAATACTATTCACAACAACTAAAAGGTAAAAACAATCCAAGTGACCATCAGATTATGCTTTATCCATACAACAGGACATTATTCAGCCTTTTAAAGGAAGGGAATTGAGACATATTCCAAAACGTGGATGAATTTTGAAGACATTCTGTTAAATAAAATAAACCAGCACAAAAGGACAAGTGCTGTATGATTTCACTTATAGGAGGTAACCAGGAGTCAAATTTCTAGAGACAGGAAGGAGAACGGTGGTTGCCAGAAGCTGGGGATGGGGGACGGGGAGTTCGTGTTTAATAAATACAAATTTTCTGTTTGGCAAGGTGGAAATGCTCCAAAGACGGATTATGGTGCTGTACAACAAAGTGAATATAAGTCAATGTCACTGAATTATACACTTAAAATGGTAAAACATCATATCTATTTTACCACAATCCAAAAAATAGTATTCATCGGGCTTCCCTCGTAGCTCAGTGGTAGAGTCCACCTGCCAATGCAGAAGACACAGGCTCCATCTCTGATTGAGGAAAATCCCATGTGCCAAGCAACTACTAAACCTATGCACCACGCCTACTGAACCTGTGCTCCAGGGCCCAAGAGCTGCAATTACTGAGCCCACGTGCAGAAAATACAGATGCCCGTGCTCCCTAGAGCCCATGATCCACAGCAAGAGAGGCCACAGCAATGAGAAGCCGGAGCCCTGCAAGTAAAGAGTAGCTCCCGCTCCCCGCAACTGGAGAATGTGTGCACAGCAACAAAGACCCAGCACAGCCTAAATAAATGAAGGAATTTATACATATGAATTTTAAAAAAAAACAGCATTCATCAAAAAGGCTTCATCAGATAATCAGAATGTATTCATGGGTATCATATGGTTTCGATCTTCACTAAATGTATTAAACTCACCCATGTATTCATCCACTCAGCAAATGTTCACCACCCATCTCCTGGTTATGAGCTCCCAGGCTAGGCAGGAGCTGGTGAAGGAGACAGTCGGTCTAGACCTTGGGGCGTGCACACAAACACACACACACACACACATACCAGGGCACCCAGGCACAGCAGTCCTTACACCAAAAAGTACCAAAGGCAGCCTGCATGGGAGACACAACTGCCCTACAAATGCTAAGTTTCTTGCTAACAAAGCATGAACTTGTACAATGACGAAAATTTTCAAGTCTCCGAGCCTCACGATTTTTCAAACTTTTAAGAAGCTTTTTTTTTTCCCTCTACAGAGGCTCTACATTTTTTCTGCTGATTTGCTATGAAACCCTGAACTTTAGGGTATGAAATAAGTCTTTAAAAATCCTCCTGATTAAACCATCTGTGTCTCATGACTAAATATCATATAGTTAATTTCTCTTCACCCTTAAATTATGTGTTAATACCCCCCACACAATGACTGCAACTCTGTAAAAGGCACTTTTCCTTCCTTTGGTACAGCAAACATCCTGTAAACAATTAATGCCCGGCTCTTGTAACCAGCTGCTTTTGTTTACAGACAGGAAGGGAAACCACAAATCCTCTGAGTGGCACTGGGGACTTGAGAGTTTTGCTCCATTTCCTACCAAGCAGGTGGTTTATATGAGGGAACTAGCTATTGTTTTGGCTCTGGAGAAAAAAAAGAAGTACATTTTTCTTGCAGCGCGGCCTTCCCAAGCCGCAGACCTGGGCGGGGGCCGTCACAGAGAATCAGGAAGGGGGACCTTCCTCCTCTACCCGCTGCCCAGAGAGGCCCCTCACACCTCAGCCGGAAGCTCTGCCAGAAAACTGTGTCTGCAGGCACAGCGCGGCCCGGCCCTCTGTCCCGACCAGCAGGTTCTTCAGCTGTTTCCCTAGTGAAACCGGCTTCTGAGAAAGTGAAGGCAAATATCTTCTTTCCACTGTAAAGAATACAAATATTCTCTCCAGCTCAAAAATCACCATTTCTCCATTGACTATCAGGACATGCTTGTTAGTACTCAGGGCAAGCAAGCCAGCCAGAATCAAAATGACCAAGTTTTATTCTTGCATTTTTAACTTAAAAATAAAAACTCCTCTCAAAATAATGAGATGCCTCCAGGGGCCAAATCATCAGCGCAGATTTCCATTCACGCACCTGCAACCTTTGGTCTTGAGCAGCAGGGTTCCCGCCTCTTCCTGCCTTGCATCCGGGCGAGGGGCCAGTAGGAGTGCCTCCGCCAATGCCACGAGCCACGGTCACACCTCCCCATCATCAGTAGGCCAAGAACCCGAACCCAAACCTCACCCACTCCGGAAGCACAGTCCACATGGATACGCACCCAGGTCCAGATTCAAGCAGCCAATCACAGAGGGAGAGAACTTCTGAATCATGGGGGATTCTGTAGATGAATGTCAGATGATGCCACTTGCTCCAGGAAATGCATTCTGGACATCAGCTCACTTGTCGATGTCCAGCATTCAACACCAGTGGCCATTCACCAGCATCCGTAACCAGGCCTGTCTCAATACTTGTACACACACACACACACACACACACACAGCCTCAGTGCTGTCTAATACCAGTGTCTAGGCCACAGCAATATCTAAATCACGAACAAGATGTCAGCTCAGTGTTAAAACATGTGCTACAAACTTTGAGCAAATGACTGGCCAGTTAGAGGAGCCTGTGTTCACTGTGAATCAGGTCAGTGCAATGAGACTTTCAACCCGAGACATTTCCTTACCCGTCAAATCACACTGTGATTTCAGCGTTTCCAACACAAAGCACTGCTGTCAATCAGGGACTTTTTATTTCCCCCCTTGGTTTACACACACACACACACACACACACACACACACACACGTATCAGTTCAGTTCAGTCGCTCAGTCATGTCTGACTCTTTGCGACCTCATGAATCGTAGCACGCCAGGCCTCCCTGTCCATCACCAACTCCCGGAGCTTACTCAAACTCATGTCCATCGAGTTGGTGATGCCATCCAGCCATCTCATCCTCTGTCGTCCCCTTCTCCTCCNAATTACAAGCATAACACTGCACAGCAAACTCTAGAACTTACTCCTTGTATGTGTGTGACTGAACCTTTATACCCACTGGACTGTCCCTGCCCATTTCCTCTCCTACCCAGCCCCTGGCAACCACCATCCTGCTCTGTTTCTCCGAGTTTGATTATTTTAAGTGGAATGATGCAGCTCCTGTCCTCCGGGGTCTGCTTATTTCACTGAGCATGATGTCCTCTAGG